GATGAAATTATGCCAAATGCAACAATGGAAGAAAAAGTACATCGCCTTATGGACATTTTTGGAATAAAAAAGTAACGAATTCGGTTTTATAAATATTACATCACACATTATTTCACATTATTCACCATTGGACAACATTTACGTTCACAAAAAATTTTAATTTCTTTTATATAAATTCTTTTCAAAGCAAAGATTATTATCCGCTATAGCGTATTCCTATAGGAATACTTTCTCTTTTGGGCCGTAAAGCAACCTATATTTAACTACTTTTTTATATGATTTTACTCATCCAAGCACCACCAAAGCCAAATTAATTGCATTTTTAATTACGAATTTCGACAACTCAACTTGACAACTGCACAATGTAACCTACAATAATTTATATATAACCACAATTAGATTTATAACTAGCTTAGGGTATGTTCCGTAAGTCAACTTGGTTGATTTGGTTTCGGTTAATGTGTCCTGTAAATGAAAAATTCCTGAAAATTATGTAGTTAAGAAACGCGGTTCCTGAAAAATAGGTTAACCAATCGTTACCGAAACGACCGACGCTGTATGATCGGTTAAATCGGTTACCAGTGCTGCAAACCAAATGGAAACAGTGTTGCCCTAAACAAAATTACTGTTTTTTGTTGGTTATCTAACCTAAAAATTTAACACAGGAGCAGACTTCGCATACAAAATACGTTTTGTCCAAAAATAATTGAATTCAGTATATAGGGTGTTTTAGGTTTGTTTATGTAACTATAGAAATATTATTAAAAATATATGCAAGTTGTAGTTTTTGACACAAATAAAAGTTTCAATAAAGATTTTAAAGAGTAGGTCGAAAAAAGTAAGTTAGGTTATGTTTTTCAAATAAAGGTGTCCCGTAAATATAAACTAACCGAGAAAACCAGGAATTTATTTCAGTAACCAGACCGGTAACTCGTGTGTATTTACGGAACATACCCTTAGTTTGTTTTAATCAATGCGACCAACTTGACAACTGTATTTACCAACCAAAATCCTAAATTTGCAACGTTGCCGCAGTCCAGATAAAAAAGAGACTTTTTTAATATAATATTTTGTGGTAAAATTTTACTAATTGCGTCACATAATAACACAACATTGCAATGCAATGCATTGTTTAATAATAATTTCTAGAATTTATTGTCACCTTTTTTGCACCAATTTGTTGAACAAATGCATACAATTATTAAACCAAATTCAACAAATTTTTCTCTGTGAACAACTTCATGTTATTATATCATTTCAATTAAGATTGTTGACAGTTGTAGAAATTCATCGATAATCCGAATATCGACATCATTCAATTGGTTTTGTATTTCATTAGCATAATTTGTAATAGATACTTCACGGTGTATTAAACGAACATGTGGCTGAGGACATTGCTTTTTCATCATATCGGTACATCTCACAATCGATTAATAAATTACCATCATTTTATGGTTTTCTGCTGCATTGAACTTCTTGTAGTCGACGATAAAAATGTGGGTAGTCGTTCACTCCTGGATCGTAAAAATCTCCTCTAAAACATTCCCATGGATTTTGAGTGCCCTAGGACTGGTCTGCGTGATGTAGATAAATATTATTTTATTGGCAATAAGTCGATAATGTTTGTTAAGAAAACAAGACAACAATGCCGAATATTTCTCGCCTGACAGTAGTGGCGGATGTTGACACTCTGCGAGCCTTCTTTGTTGTTGTTGTGGCATGTCATCGATTCTTCTGCTGCATTAGTAACACTTTTGATCGCCTCACGTGCGTTATCCTCTTATTTTGTCAGAGGTGTATCACACCTATATATAGGTGTATAATGCTTTAAATAACCCAGCGGTTTAAGTTAAGAAGTTTATTTTAGAATAAAAACATATTTTATCTATTTTGCTTTCATAATGACTTCATTAAGTATCTCACCCAAAATTTTGATTTTATAGGCTATACGAGGTGTGTTCAGAAAATAACGGGAATTGTTCAATTTCGCGGCTTCGGAGGGTCCGGTTGTCATAAAATTTTCTTTATTATGTTGGTATACATGCCCCCGAAGTATGACAAAAACTTTAGCTGTTTTCATTGTTTACTTTGTCTGTGGCAGCCGCTAAGGTTAGACGTGTTTTATGAGCTCGGCGATTTTTCGTTCGTGAAAAGAAATGGATCAAAGAATTTGTATCCAATTTTGCTTAAAAAATGAAATAAATTCTGTAAAATGTTAACAAAGGCCTATAGTGAGCTATAACTAAAACAAGAGTTTACAAGTGGTATAAGAGTTTCCAAGATGGCCGTGAAGACGTTGAAGATGACGAACGCCCCAAACGCACAAGCACATTAACAACCGATAAAAACATAGAAAAAGTGGAATAAATGGTTATAAACCATCAGAGAAGTCGCTGATGATGTTGGTATATCGATTGGCTCATCCCATGAAATTTTTTCGAATGTTTTGGGTATGAAACGCGTGGCAGCAAAATTTGTACTAAAATTGTTAAATTTTGAACAAAATTTTTGGCCAAAAACAATACTGTAATAATGCCCCAGCCTCCATATTCGCCAGAGATGCCTCTGTCTGACTTTTTCTTATTCCCAAAAATAAAGAGAACCTTAAAGGGCCGTCGTTTTGCAAGCATAGATGACATTAAAAGCGCATCGCTGAAAGAACCAAAGGCTATCCCAAAGATCGAGTTTTAGAAGTGTTTCGAGTATTGGAAGAAGAGCTGGCACATGTGCATAATATCCAATGGGGACTATTTTGAAGGCGACAACATTAATGTAGACGAATAAATAAATATTTGTTTCAAAAAACGAAAATTCCCGATATTTTCTGAACACACCTCGTACTTTAAACAGCATAATATTTTGCATATTGGATATAATATTTTTATGATTTTTCTAGTACTTACGAAACTTTTCTGGCAATAAATTTTGTTTAACACATAAGAAAATCCTTTTTTTCTTCTTTAACATTAACAGCCGCTTATTGTAAATAAGTAAATTAAGGACGAATCGATTTTGACATTAACTGTCAAACCAATGACTGTGATACCAACTATCTAAAGTAAAATTCGACCAAAGGAAATTTAAGGTATAAAATTAATTCTTTTTGTAGAATTTTTGCAAAATATATAAAATAGCATAAAAAACTCATGTCATAAGACCTTTTGTCGCACTCGTCCATTACAAACTCGTCCGCGTGCGACAAAATGACGTCTTATGACAATGGTTCTTCAATATACTATTCTTTTCAAATCATATTTTAAAGAATATATAATTCAAGCATTGTCGTAACAATGTAAGTGGTAATTCAAAAACTATAGTGGTAATTGAACCAATCAAAACTCTTATTTACCTTGGTAACGTGTGTTTTACCGGCTAAGATCCTCCTCTAACTAGGACCACGTTGCATTGACAAAGTTTTGTTTGTATTAATTTTATTTAAGGAGTGTGCGAAGTATCCGAAAAAAGATGCCATCACTGGTTTTCAAACTGAAATTAGGGGATACACTGAAATGGGTTAAAGTTACGAAATACGTCAGTAAGTGTTGTAGCAGTACTGATTATTATATTGTACCAAATTTCTTTATATATAATATATTAACAAATATTTTTTACTTTGTAATCAAATTTTTGTTACTTTTGATTTAATATATATATTAAATATATTTACAATTTTTTGTAGGTATTTTAACTCATAAGATACATTCTCCCAAAAAACCACTTGTGAACCAGATATTTTTCATTCAAGCTTGTTGTACAAATTCAACTCGTTCTTCGAGATCACGGAATTATAAACAACTGCGCTTTCACAAAAATTATCGGTACCTAACTAATAGTTACTAAATGATAGTGGCAACAATACGGCACAAATTAACAGCATCTTTTTTAAAATATATAGTTAGTAACTATATATTTTAAAAAAGATGCTGTTAATTTGTGCCGTATTGTTGCCACTATCATTTCTATCGTGATCACAAGGTGAGTATTGTGATGAAATGAATCGACTTTAAATAATAGTAACAAGTAACATTTTTGACATGAACAAAATTAAAGTTTTTTGATGATTTGAAACAAATAGTAGGTAAGCCACATTGCTGGAACATGTAAAGGTTATTTTTTTATAGAAACAAAACAAAATCAATTTTAATACTTATATAAGGGTGAATCTCACGAAATGTCCCCCGATGGTGTTACCCCGTGATATTTAATAAAACTAAATGAGTTTGACCTACACTTTTATTGTGTTTTCATCTTTTATAATCAAGTAGATATTACAGCTCAGCTTCCAGATTTTTAACCGCAATTAATTATTTTTTATAATGTTTTAAGTCTAAAACCTATCCTCCGTGACTGTTACTGTTTTCAAATATCTGAGGTAAAAGCATACTAAAAATATCAGTTCTAGTGTAATTTCTCAATAGGTAGATTTTTTTATAAATATTTTATGTATTTTTTTAAAATATTAAGGTGTCAAAAGATACAATAACTTATTTCAAATATACAAAGGGATGTTTTAAAAAATATATACGAAATCCTAACTTACTTGAAGCTCTAATATTCAGAATGTATGATTTCTTAAAATTCTTGCATTAGTGCAGAACCACTTATGTTATGTTATTACTATAGTCTATATATATATATATATATATATATAGTCTATAGACCTGGTGGCTTCCCAAAATCCCCATTCTAGACTAACAGTGAAACAACCAATAAACAAAAGTTATTGTATGTTTATTTGGATTAAAGTGGACAAATTAGTAAAAATAATGTATAAAGTGAAACAGTTATATGGAAAACTGTTGTATTATTAACAGTGTGAACTTGGTCCTTCGATCCGGATAGGTATGAGCTTGGATAGTGATGTTTGGTAGCATTGCACTCCGCCACTGGCTTAAGTAAGAGATCAACCGAGGAACAAGAGGTGGATGGCTGGGCGGCGGTAGAGGGGGCAGGGAGGGGGCCGGAGTGCATGTGCATGCCGGTCCATTCTCCGCAGGCCCCTCCCCTCCACTCTCTCTTAGTTGAGACGTAGCCCGGCCTGTCAACTGTCCGTACTCTAGTTAGTCGTAATACGTACGTCGTACGTCTTCATGCACATGTGCCGAACGCAACGAGACATTTAAATTTTGGGACGAACGTTCAGTGTCAGTGCGATTGTGGATTACCGGTGACGAAATCATGAGTGAATATTGTTGTGCGTGTTAGCGATGCCCGAGAAAGAGGCGGACTTCCAGGCCGCCATGTCAGCCGGTTTGCCGATGCAGTTCCCGTCGGCGTTCGCCGCCTTCCACGCGCCGCTCCCCGTCGACCAGCGCACGCACGAGGGGCGGTACGTCTGGGACCCCAGGATGCCGCCGCCCGGCGCACCCTTCCACCCCCCTGCTCCCCCAGGGTAAGTCCCAAACACAACGAAATTACCATTTTAAAACACAACATTCAACAATTTTTAATTCAATAGTGTCTATATATAATTTTTTCCATTATAATAACAATTTTTCATGTTTTATGATTAGAGATGGGATTTTAGTCTTTTACCTCCCAATTAACATTTTTAGTTTTATTGTGGTCTTCAAGAACGCTTTAAAACAAAATTTTGTTTTAAAGCGTTCTTGAAGACCATAATAAAACTAAAAATCCCCCAGGGTAAGTCCCAAAGACAACAAAATTACCTTTTCAAAATACAACATTCAACAATTTTCAAATTCAATTATGTCTATAATTTTTTCCATTATAATAACAATTTTTCATGTTTTATGATTAGTGATGGGATTTTAGTTTAATTACCTAGATAAATAGCTATTTATCTACGCTAATCCTAACTTAAGGTGCAATGGAATAAAATCCGTTTTGAAAAAAGATTTTTTTACCTACTTAACCTAAATTTTAATTTTTAAGAGAAATGGACCTAATTTTTAAATTTTACCACCTAAAATAGTGTGACTTGCCTATTTCACCTAAATTCTTATTTTAAATAGAAATAAAATTTTAAAATTGTACCAACCAACTCACATTACTCTCTAAAAATGAATTAGTCAAAAAACAACTAATTTAATAGTTATTAGTGGCTGCTTTTTCACTTGTGCCATGTTTAATCATGGAATACCATGGTATCCCAAAATTTAACAGCCAATTCTTATGTATAATTGCCCCCTGAGTCCGAAAACACTATCAAAAGTTAAAAAAGTAAAACAGTTTTTGAGATATAGTCAATTCCATATTAATTAGATAATTGACTATATCTCAAAAACTGCTCCAGTTTTATAATTTTTGACGGTATTTTCGGATTCAGGGGACAATTTTACATAGGAATTGGCTGTTACATTTTTGGATACCATGGTATTCCATGCATGGTTAACCATGGTACAAGTGAAAAAGCAGCCACTAATTAACTATTAAATTAGTCATTTTTGACTAATTCATTTTTAGAGAGTACCAACATACACAGTAAAACAATTCTTTACTCAATGGTAAAACAATATTTGTTACTTTTAACCAAATATTAACCAGATTTTATGTTAATCCAGGTCCACATAACTTTATGTTAAGTTTACAAGTTTAATTATAACAAACATTTTGTAGATTTAATCCTATATCAATAATTCAACCATAATTCTTGTAATTTTCAAAAAGGACCTTATTTTTACAAAACTTTTTGTAGATCCAGTAACAAAAGTATTTGGAAACTTAAATGAAAAGAATTTTGATAAGATGTTGCTTTATTAATCAATTTCCTAAACTAAAAAATAAAAAATAAATCAATACAAAAATTACGTACGCACAATTTAATAACACACCATTCTGAAATCATCAAATTATAATAATATAAATATTATATATTTTTATTATGAATATAAAATTATAATGTTATTATGATATTTTTATAAGATATATTCGTAAGATATTTTTAATTTTTTAAAATCATAAAAATCTTCTTCGATAAAATTAAATATTTTTACCACCTAAAAGTTGTTTTTCAGTACCTATTTTTATAATTCTATAATTTAAGAATTTTCTCACCTAAAACAAGAAAAAAGTTTATCTTCTTAAGTACACATTTCTATAAATAATAATAATAATCATTCTTTAAATATGGTTTACGAAAATGGAGAAATATAAAGTTGTTAAAATTAATAAATTAATATATTTCAATAAGTTTTTAAAATTTAAATGCACTTTTGTTGAAAAAAAAATGGCAAATGCCTAATGTATTTTAAAAACCTTTAAATACCTCTACCTGAAGAAAGCTAACAGTTTTTTATTACATTTTATTTTCCATGCCGAATGCGCTTTAGTACAAAATATTAAATATTTAATAACCAAAACTGTAATATAATATTTATTAACATAAAATTCTTTTACAACAGTTAAACATTTTATAATCAATTAAAGTAAATTTATTTATCCATTTTAATTAGAAAAAGTATACAAAACCACGATAAATTACACAAGTTACCTACCTATCTAATAAAATATAAAATATTCTCGAGTGAGTATTAGGTGCGCAATAAAAACGTCCCGACGCGAGATTTAAATCACTCCAGCTTCGACACAGCAATTACCTAATTATTGTAGTCGGCTGTTTATGTAATAAATTCATGAAAAGAGCTGCATCATGATAATCATAGTGATAGAGCAACATGCGTTAAATTAACGTGCGCTCAACTATTAATAAAGCAATAGACAAGGAAACAAGCCACATCTTCACCTAAAAAATACTAATTTACTAAAGATTTGAGCTCTTAATATTAAGTAGGTACTTTTATAGTAATGATTTTTAAATTTTGGATTTTTTTTTAATTATTCCTTTTTTTTTATAAAAATAAAAACAGTAATGTCTTTTTGTAAAAAAAACTATTTGGTGGAATGACCCTTACATATACCTACCTATAATTAAAAAAAATCTTATTAAGTCTTTATTTTAAATAGTGAAATTAGTAAAGTGGTCACAACAACTATGTTGCACAATATTCAATGGTGTTTTAATTGCCCAGTAAACAGCAATAAAATTATAGTTGGCGTTGTTCGAATTTCAACGTGGCACAGTGATTCAATCTGCAAATTTGTCTAGAAAAAACTTTTTCAGAAATGTAAATATTTTAGATTTTTAAAAATTAGTTAGAACTAAAATCTGTATACATTAGGGTGGTCATTTATTTTTTGTCACTACCAGGGCCTAAAAACTCTCCAAATGGTCAAGCGGTCAAATTTTGCCATTTCTATAAACATTTGGTTTTATTCGTTTTTTCCACTGTTTTTTTTCCAGTTTATTCAGTTTTTTTAATCAAAGGAAAAAAGCAAGATTGAGCTCATTTTTTTACATGTACAAGAGAAGTCATTATTGACAGAATATACTTAATTGTGAATTATTGTAGCGGTTAAAAATAAAAACAAACAAAAATTTTTCATTTTTTTTATCTAAAAAAAAGCGTTTTATTACATATCCAGTAGTAGGTAATAAGACAACAATTAGTTCCTATTTTGCCTGCAATAATATTGGAAGGTATACATATAACTGATAATTATTAATAATTATTAATGCGCAGACAAAATAAATAAAATTTAATTTTTAACTATATTTTGAAATCTATTTAAGATACAGCAAAAAAATTTTAAAAATAGATAATGCAGATAATGCAATTCGTTTTATAAACTTCCCAAGACACTTGTTCGCTCGTGCTTAATAAAATGGCGTTTATAAAACTTGATATATAATATTCTATTATGACTAGTCTCTACTCTTTTGCCATGCCTTGTTTTGAAAAATCATAAATAATCACTCTACTCTCTAAAAATAAATTAGTCAAAAATGATTAATTTAATACTTATTAGTGGGTGCTTTTTCACTTGTACCATGGTTAATGACAATTATTGTCCCCTGAATCCGAAAATACCGTCAAAAATTATGAAAATGGAGCAGTTTTTGAGATATAGACAATTCCATATTAAATAAAAAATTGACTATATCTTTAAAAAAATCTTAAAAACTGTTCTCCTTTCTTAACTTAACGACATTTTCGGATTCAGGGGACAATTTTACATAAAAATTGGCTATTAAATTGTGGGATACCATGGTATTCCATGGTTAACTATGAAATATTTTATACAGCGAACACCAAAACGGTGTTTATCTAAAAATATTTGAGAAGTGCACCTACACAGAAAAAAGGAATAGTTCATTTAACTATTAATTTAGTTGACCCATAAGTATTTATTTAAATCAACTGTGGAAAGGTTAATATAAACAAAGATTAGTTTGACGGTACTAAACCAGATAGTTATTTTATTTTTTTTAAATTGGTTAAATTAACCCAGAAAACTTTAGTGAAACCAACCCGCTGTATGGTTCACTTTACTAAATATGTTGTTTGTAAAATAAGTGTTACTTCAACCTAAAGCACTCTGTTAAAACGATTAAAACAATTTGCCATGCATTCCCGGTTGCATAGTGTGTACCGATCGCGGCAAAGGCGGTGTGGATCACGTGATGTTCTTAAATCTCGCCTCTGTTGACTTACATGAAGAGTATATAAGCTCAGGTAGTCCTTTGCTTTGGTGTGACACTACAAGTTGTTCGATACTAAAGAGACCTTAAATAGGCGGAAACAGCTGTCAATATTTGAAGTATTTTAAGTTAGTGGAACGCACTAAAAACATTATCTCTAGCGAGTTGAAGGTTCAATTTTCTGGAATAATTCCACTGGTAATGCGTCAAGGAACTTCCTGTTTCCTTTTTTCCTTTTTTTCTGTGTAGTATGATTTAATTTGACCAAAAACACATTATATTTAACACTGAAAAGGAGTTCAATTTACACCAGGTAAAATTTATTTTAATATCTACTGTGTGAAAGTTAAATTTACACCATTTTAGTATTTGAATTTACACCGGCCAACGAACCTTATTTGTATCGATATAGACCATGTATGGTGTTAACCCCAAACATAAAAGCTTAGCAGAGGGTTAAGGTGTACCAAATTGTAATTTGGATAACTGTGCGGGAATGGTGCGTGGAATGAAGTTCCTAGAACACCGGTCCGCTGGCCAGGGCCGCGCGCGACTCGAAAAATGCGCCTCGTGATTTATGCGCAGAGGAGGCCTGTTCGCCGGCCGATCGGCCTGGGCCATAAATTCAATTTCCAACGTCGAAAAAAAAAACTTCCCACAACACACAGATCAAAGAATCGAGCTGGCGAACGCATTAATACACGTCCATGGGATCTTTATTATCGAAGATAACTAAAAAGAGATATTATTATTCGGCCACGTCACCCGCTAATAATAACAGGTCCACTTGCAACCAATTACCGGTGCACCGTGATTTAGATAAGCGGACGACCGCTCCGCTTTTTATACACGGAATCGATCGGGATTTTCGATTAAGTCATTTATTATAC